AGATTCTTGTCCCATCACTCAGCCACTTTGATCCATGATAAGAAGTAGAGCAGGCAAGACTCGCTGGAAAGCGTGGAAACAGCTAAGACTAAATTCAGCTACAGCCTGATGAATTTCAGAATTATGTAGCATGAGGAGGAATTAGTTAAAGGGGAACTTAGAATGCAAGTTAATCACTCCAGGACTCTTGAAGGTGACAAAAGCTTATTGTGTGATTCAGGCACAGAATCAAGGAGATTTATGCGCTGAAAATAAAACAAACAAAGGAGAAATGTGTTAGTAAATACAGAAAGGTCAGAATAATTTCTAACAATTGAAACATACTGGAAGCAGAATATCAGCCAAGAATTTGCTTGGCTGTTAGAAAATAATGGATTAAAACACCTGTCTGAAGAGGGAGGGTCAACTTATTTTCCAAAGCACCAGAAGGCAAGACAAGAAAAAATGGATGGAAGCTAATCAAGGAGAGAAGCAACCTGGAATTAAGGAGAAACTTCCTGACTGTGAGGACAATTAATCCATTGAACAGCTTGCCTTCAGAGGTTGTAGGAGCTCCATGACTGGAGGTTTCTAAGACTGGACAGCCACCGATCTGAAATGGTATAGGTTCTCCTGCTTGTGCAGGGGTGGAACTAGAAGACCTATTCTGATTGATTAAAAGTCAGTTCAGAAAAGGTGTTTGAAATCCTTTGAAAGAGGTTCTTCAAAAGAGGAGAAAAGGTCTCCAAAGGGCCTGTTTGAATCTAGGATTAGGGGTCTGGAGCACACGATGAACAGTTATGAGAACTGGGTATGTCTAGTCTAATGAAGAGATGGACTAGGAGAGATACAATAGCAGTCTTCCAATATCTGAGGGGCTGTGACAAAGAAGAGGAATTCAGCTTATTCTCCAAAGCACCCAAGGACAGACAAGAAGAAATGCATAGGAGATGATTAAAGAGAGATCCAACCTAGAACTAATTTCAGAGATCTCAGGCAGGGGTGGGTTCTAATTTTTTTTACTACCGGTTCTGTGGGCGTGGCTTATTTTGTGGGTGTGGCTTGGTGGGGGTAATGTGGCTGGGTGGGCATAGCCAACTTTTTTTTTAACTTTTAAAAGCATTTTTTCTACTACCTTAAGAGGTAGAAAAAAATGCTTTTAGAAGCCTCTGACGATCAGACAACTCAGCTGGGATCGCCAGAGGCTTTCAAAGGCATTTTTTCCCCCTACAATCTCTTTGGTCGAAGAGATTGCAGAAAAAGATGCTTTTAGAAGCCTCTGATGATCCCAGCTGAGCCGCGCGATCATCAGAGGCTTTTTTTTTTAACTTTTAAAAGCATTTTTTCGGCCGAAGAGGTTGTAGAAAAAATGCTTTTAAAAGTTTAAAAAAAAAAAAGCTCTGATGAGGTGGGCAGGGTAAGCGAGCAGCGACCGGGCCGAGGACTGGTTCGGGGCATGGCCAGCCAATGTTATTACCCGTTCTCCAAACAACTACAAATTTTTACTACCGGTTCTTGTGAACTGGGAGCAACCCACCACTGGTCTCAGGCCTAAGCCAATGAGGGTCAAAGCAATAATAATCTTAAAATTAGAAGAGTCTTCTAATGTCTTTGGAAACTGCTGTAATATCTCTACAGGAGACGCTTGGAATGCAGCCTTTGCAGAGATCTCTGTCTTCTTCTGTAACAATGGTGATAAGTTAGTTTGATCAGCCATGGCTGCAAAATGCAACTTTCAGAGCTAAGACTTTGCTAAGGTTGCTTTGTTTGTTCTGAAGAGAGCCTCAGAATCTGAATGCCTCAAGAATGGCCTGCAAAGATGGCACTTTGCACTGGCCAGTTGGCAAAGATGTTTAAAGATAAATCAGCTAAATGTTGGAAATGCCACCAGGTACCTGGGTCTTATTATCATATGTGGTGGACATGCGTGGAAGCAAAAAAATACTGGACAAAAATACATACGTGGCTGGAAAAGATGATAAAACAGCACATTGATTTAAAACCAGAAATATTTTTGTTGGGGATTTTACCTGAAACCTATAGTAAAGGGAATGCATATCTAATTATTCATGCAGCTAGAATTGTATTTGCACAAAACTGGAAAAATGAAGAGATCCCTACAGATGAGAATGTGATTAGGAATATATTAGAATGTGCAGAAATGAATAGATTAACACTTGCAGTTAAGAAGAAAGAATAAACTGAATACTACACAACATGGGAATTATTTTATCAATGATTAGAAAATAAAAACAGAAGTTAGAAATTGGGAAATAAAAGAAGATTAATGAAATATAAAAAATATGTTAAGAGAGACGTAAACACTATGATGATGATGATGATTATGACTATTATGTTTAATATTACTGTTATATTCTTATTAGAAGATATGTTAAGAGAGAGAAGTGAATATATTTATTATGCTCAATATTAGTATTGTAAAATCAGAGAATTAAAATTAATGTAATGAATACTGTTTAAACTTTGATTATTACTGCACAAAGATATTTGTACCCAGATGACACACTGTTTATTATACTAAAATATAGGAAAAAAAGAATGGCCTGCAAAGACTGGCTGGAAGGGTTTGCTCTATTTTTTAATATTGCTCTAAAAATGAAGAGTGGAACAGCAACAGAGGTGAATTGCAAGGGTAAGAGATGCTTGGTGTGCTTGCTGGAAGAACATAAAACCAGGAGGAAAACTGAAGTCTATCCCCATTTTATGTAGTCACTTTTCTTCTTTCATAATATCAATGATATTTGCATTTATTATGTCAGATCCTGCTTTTTCTCCATTTAGAAAGATAAGACACTTTTGGGTTTGACATTGGTTGTTTTCTTAAGCAAATCAATCAGAATTCCTGATCTGTATCTGGTGATGACCAAAGTAACGGTTTCCTCTTCAGTGGATATGTTCACACAGAGGCTAGTCTGACATTGACTGGGATGCTGCATTGGGGCAGGGCCTTGAATTTAGTTGCCTTGATTTCCAGGTGTTTCACTACGTATTGTGGGCAACTCATATAACACCCAGAGCACACAAGAGTATGCCACTGAAAATTAGCAGCAAAATGGTTAATTGATGGCAGTTCTTGTTGAGCCATCCGGGGAGAAGATTTTGAGAATTAAGGGAGAAAATGGTAATAATCTGTTTTCCCGCCCTCAATTTTTCAAACAAAACAAAGAGCTAGAAAACTCTCATTCCACCCCACCCCTTGCAATTTCAGACATTCTTCTAGGAACATCACTGGAAAATCTTCTAGAACTCCAGAAAATCCAGAGGTTGAATCGAGGTCTACAATTCCAGTGCAGCAGTTTATTCTATAGGAGGCCTATTAATTCTGTTTAGATGATTAGTATCTATAGCAAAGGAGTGTTAGTTAAAAATAGGGCATTTCACTCCAAGAATGGATAGCAAAACAGAAAGTTGTACATTCTGTGATATTGAAGTAAATACAGGGTAGATGAATGGAAACTATTCACACAGTAGGTTGTCAGCCTCCTAAGTAGACCAGACAAGAAACATGACCAGATGAGCTACTCCTACTTTATTGTATGGCTATATTAACAGAATCTTGCAAGTCTGTCGCTTTTTAGTTTCTGATAATTTTGGGCAGATCCTTTCTAAGTTTCTTCCTCTGCCTATTGTTCCCTTGTGGGCTCTCCCGTCCTTTTAAATTCCTTTGGCAGCATCTCCTACCCTTATTTCCCAAGGTCATTCCCACACACCACTACATAGGCACAAACCCAGGACAAACAACAACTATGTTTGTATCTGTCTGAGACATATTCCCTGTGCTGGTCATCTCACTTCTGGACTACTGCAATGCGCTCTACATCAGGCTACCCTTGAAGAGCATTTGGAAGCTTCAGCTGATGCAGATTGTGGAGGCAAGGGCAGTTCTTGCACTCTCTAGGATGACCCATGTTACACTGCTGCTCCACAAGTTGCAGCATCTGCTGGTCTCCTTCTGGGTGTAGTTCAGGGTTTAAAGATCTTCATGGTGTGGGTCCAGGCTACCTGAGGAACTGTCTCACCCATCTGAGACTGGTCCACTCCAGCCACCCCAGCCAAGAAGGCATGCGGTGGGCCATGTTGGTCAAGGAATTCCAGCTGGTGGGGTCCAGGCTGTGGCTCTTGCCCTTTGGAACATCTTGCTCGTGAGGTGAGATTGGGACCCACCCTTCTGTCCTTCTGCAGGAGCCTGAAGACCTGACTCTGCCAAGTGTCCTGTGGCCCTGATGGGGGAACATCACCTTGAAGGTGGTTGAATGAAGAGGCAATCCCACCTCTTCCCCCCACATCCTGTTCTCTCCCTCCCCATCAATTTTGTTTTTATTCTTTTAAATATATTTATTTGTTAGAATTTCAATATTTTAATGTTGGAAGCTGCCGATAGTTGTTCATTGGGCAACACTAAACTAAACTAAACTAAACTAAACTAAACTAAACTAAACTAAACTAAACTAAACTAAACTAAACTAAACTAAACTAGTCTTTTTACTGCACTGTTTAAGGCAGTGGTGAAATCTAAAATTTGTTACTACCAGTTCTGTGGGCGTGGCTTGGTGGGGGGGTAATGTGACTGGGTGGGCGTGGCCATTTTTTTTAACTTTTAAAACCATTTTTTACATGTAAAACCATGTAAAAAATGCTTTCAAAAGGCTCTGACGATCCAAGCTGAGTTGCCTGATCGGCAGGCAACTCAACTGGGATCATCAGAGCGTGAATCGTCAGAGCTTGGCTCATCAGAGGCATTGAAAAGAAAAAAAGCCTCTGATGATCGCGCGGCTCAGCAGGGCATGGGGGGGTGGGGGCAGGGATTTTTGCTACTAGTTCTCCAAACTGCCCACCGCCATTGCTACCTACTCGCCCGAGCCGGTCTGAACTGGGAGCATTTCACCCCTGGTTTAAGGGTTTATGTATCTTCTTCCCGTTTTCTTTTCTTCTGGAACTGCAATCTCAGCTTGGGCCTGACTGGAGCAGAATGGCCATGACAGTCTGTAATTGTCTTGCAGGAGGAATCTTTGAATATGCTGATGGTCCAAATGCCCAGGTAATGAACGCCGAGGAACAAGCATTCCGATTCTCAGCCAATATCATCAACAGGAATAGAACTTTGTTACCCAACACAACCTTAACCTATGATATCCAGAGGATACACTTCCACGATAGCTTTGAAGCCACTAAGAAAGGTGAGTGTGGAGGATCAATGTTCTTCCTCAGCTTTTGGGGTTTTGTCTGATGAAGGATTTTATGTAAGTGAACTGGTGAAAAGCAGTTGTTCTTGGGGCCAAAGTCCATAGAAGCTACAAGTTCATGAAAGCTCCAGATTGACTGTCAGTCCCAAATGGGGAATTGAGGAAAGGAAAGTCAGTGATGGAGAAATTAATTGGGAAACATACTTTATGGGTGGAGGGCAGCAGAGACTGTGGAAAGATGGTGGGTGAAGAAGTGAGTGAGGGTGCTGGGAAACCAGCTGTGAATCAGGGTGCCAAATACATCAGGTACCAAAGGGGACAATGGCAGTGGTGGGATTCAGCTGATTTGGACCGTTTGGGGCGAACCGGATGTTAATTTTACGTCCGGTTTGGTGAACTGGTAGTTCCGATGACCGGCTGTCCCTGCCCACCCCAGGAATCCCCACACAAGCCGTTTTGGATCTCAGGTAAGTGCAGGGGCACGTGGAGCCTGGGGAGGTGGAAAATGGGCCTCCCAGAGGCCCATGGAGGGAGAAAATGGGCCTATTTCCTGCCTTCAGAGAGCCTCTGGAACCAGGGAAGGTAGAAAACGGGCCTTCCACAGCCTGTTTTTGCTCCCAGGGGGCTGCAGGGAGGCCCACTAGGCCCAAAATGGGGCACCGGAGGGGGGGGTACAGCTCGGCTCCCCTGCAGTCCATTTTTGCTCCCAGGGGGCTGCAGGGAGGCCTAGCCTGTAAGGCTGGGGCACCCAATCAATCTATTCGCTGCCTCCCAGCCTCCCAGCTGATCAGTGTGGTCATCTATTGCTGCCTCCCAGGTGATTGGCTGGGTCTTCTTTTGTTGCCCTGCACAGGAAAACAGAGCTGGAAAGCAGGTTAGTGGAGTGGGGAGGGAATGGGTATTTTGCCTAACCTTTCCCAAGGAGTGGGGAGGGAATGGGGATTTTGCAGTATCCTTCCCCTGCCACACCCACAAAACCAGTAGTAAAAAAAATTTGAATCCCAAAACTGGACAAGGGGGGTAAAATTTGGGAGAAAAGAACACCAGGGATGAAGCCAGAAGTCCAAGGAGCTAAACTGAAGATTGTTTTGGTCTTTTCAGCACTTCAGCAGCTGAGCGGCTGCTTGGTTGTCCCTGATTGCTACTTTCCTTGCATTGATTTTGCATTAAAGTCAGATCGGTGCCCCACAAAAAGCACACTGTGCACAGAGAAGTCAAGGAAATGATGTGCAGAAGCTGAAATCCCTTTTTTTGGCTCTAATACCTGGAAAATCTTTGTGGAATCTTTTTTATTATTATTATGTTGTACTTAAATTTATCTGATTCTTTTTGTTGAAGAATTTTAAACTTTTATATCATTCCACTTAGAGGCTATTCTAATGAAATGTGATGAGTAAATAAGATCAATCTTTTTTTAAACACCCTCTTTTTTGTGTTAATGTTTAATGTTCCTCTTGTGAATAAGATTATGATGACAGCTTCCTTTGCACAAGAACTGCAACCCATTCTCTGTAAGTGTATTATGCATGAGCATATCTATGTTCACACACTCATAGAGTGACGCATTGGAGCAGATGGTTGCGATATGGCTCTTTGTCTCCCGTAGGTCGGTCCCTGTAAGAGCCACGAACCAGGAGAACGGGGACTCCTTATTGTGGGGAGACTCTGCCTCAAGGATTTGGCTGGCCTTAGCAAACTCAGAACGCAAGTAGCTTCCTCATCCAAATTCAAGATGGGAGCCAACATTTGCTGTTTTAAAAGAGAATTTATTGAAACTTTTCAGGAAAAGATAAAAAAAACTAATAGAAATTAATATAAAGTGAGACGAAGAGAAAAAGAAAAGAATTAATGAAATAACTAAAAATACAAAAAAAAAGAAAGAAAATACAAAGTAGTTTCTGGTTTTCTTTACAACAGTTATAAGTAGAATTATAAATTTACCTCCTGCTTTATGGTTATAGCGTAACTCAATTTTTTCTATAATCTGTTCTGTCTAATCATCAAACGTTCTTTCATCTTCCATTTAATGCAAAAAAAAAAAAAATTACAAAAATGCCTTGTCAGCATTGTCTTTTCTCTGTTCAAAAAACCTCAAAAGTTTCATCATCTTCACCAATCATTTCTCCATTGTGGGCAGTACTGAATCTCTCCATCTTTGCCCATTCAAAATCTCTTTTTTCTTCTGCTTCAAATTTCAGTAACAGTTTATACATTTTAGCAATTAAATATTCATTATACACAATTCTGCTTCAAACTCAATATTTCAGTGCTCAAACCTAAATGTTCTTGTATCTACATAAAATCTTTTTAACACATAGAATATAAGAAAAGCATTGATAAACATTTCCTTCTGCCATCGTATCTTCTCCTGATTTTATCTTACATTCCTTTTGACAAAATTCTAGTACCTTATGATAAAGTAACCATTTGAGATTGGTTCTGATTTCTTTTTTTAATATATACATTTTATTAAAAGTTTTAAGGGAATATAAAATATTCTTAAAAGAATAAAAAAGTAATACAGAATAAAGAAAACAAAGAGAGAGAAAAAACAAGCATAAAAGAAAAAGAAAGAAAGAAAGAAAGGATAAAAAGAAATAGAAACTCTATAGCAAATGCAAATATTATTACAAAGTTATCCCTTAATCTGTGATTACAAAACAACCTCGCTTTTTCTTAACCCTTTTTTTCCTAATCTTCCAAACCACAAGTCATAAATACATTTTTTTCTGTTTCATGTAAAAAGTTCATTAGGGATTTCCAGGCAGCCATAAATGCAAATGTTGTTTTTTCTCTAAACAAGGAAGTCAGTTTAGCCATCTCTGCCATCTTCACCAACTGTCCCTCCATTGTGGTAGCATCCAATCTTTCCACTTTGGGGCATATAATAATCTCACCGCGGGTATCATATATAAAAGTCCTGTGACTTTTTTTCTAGTTGCCTGTTCTTTAGTTCCAAAAGACAAACATCTGGTTGTATTTTAGTCTTTATAAATCTTCTAAATTTATAATCTTTATAATCTTCTGAATTAATGTATATATTTGTATCTACATATTTTTGGCTTTTTAAGACATCCATGAGATGATGAAATCTCCATTCATTTACATTTCCAGTAAAGATTCAGAATACCTGAATTACAGGCAATTTCTTTGGTGACAAATACCAATAATAGATGATTTGATAAAAATTCTTTAAGATTAGAACATATTGTAAATTTCAATCCTTTCAATCACATATGGAAACCACATAATGAAATATTGAGAGCCAGTATGCTACACTGGTTAAGGTGCTGACCTAGAAATCAAGAGAAGGTGAATTCTGCCTTAGCCATGAAAGCCAAGTATGAGTCACTTAGGGCTGGTCATTCTTTCTCACTTCAACCAACTACACAGGATTGTTGTTGTGGGGAAAATATGAGAGAAAGGAATATTAGGTATGCTTGTTGCCTTGAGTTTCTTATAAAATAATAAAGGTGGGATAAAAATATAATAAATAATTTTTCTCCATTGATCCATTTGTATACTGTAATCAACCTTTTTACCTCATTTTATCATACGTTCTTTCACTTGTTCTTCATCTGCATAAGGATGAATATGTGTCAATATAAAAGAAAAAAAAGAATGACATTGCCAAAGATGAATGCTACAGACCACCCAACCAAGCAGAAAAAATAGATGTACTTTTTGCCAACCAACTAACAAATATATGTAGGAAACACACTACAGTAGTAATGGGGGACTTCAGTTACCCTGACATCAATTGGAAGACTAATTCCTCACCAAGTGAGAAATTGAATAGGTTCCTGACCAACCTAGCTGACAACTTTGTTGTCCAAAAGGTAGAAGATGGAACTAGAGGGACAGCCATATTGGACTTAATTCTTACAAACAGAGAAGAAGTGATAGAGGTAGTAGAAACTGCAGGAACCTTGGGTGAGAGTGACCATGTCATATCAGAATTCAACATAACACAAACACAAGCAATAGAAAACAATGATACCAGACTCCTCGATTTTAAAAGAGCTGATTTTAACAAACTCAGATAGAACTTGGAAAGATTCCTTGGATGAAAATCCTAAAGAGGAAAACAACTCAAGAAGCTTGGGAAACTGAAAAATATGATCATAAAAGCCCAGACCAGCACAATACCACTGAAAATGAAAAACAAGAAATCCAAGAAGAAACCAGCATGGCTGCACAAAGATCTCTCTGACAAATTGAAAGACAAAAAGGACAAGTACAAAAAATGGAAAGAAGGACACATAACTGTTGTTGAGGTTTTGTAGACCGCAACCTTATCCACTTACAATATACCAAACAAACGAGTCAGAGGAGTTTAAAATAAACTAGTTTAATAAAATAAATAAAACAAAGTCTATAAAAAAGTATCAATAATTACCTCCCTTTTTGCAATGTCCATTCAGCTCTTTAGGTATCACTTAGATACCTAAGAACCCTCTTGATCCCATTCCAATGAAATTGAGTGGGGTTTTCAGAATGCCTGGACAATACATTTACAGCTAGACTAATATCTGGCCTTGTCCATCCTGTGATATACAATAATGATCCTATTACAGATTTGTAAAATGTCTTCTGTTCAAACTCTGCACTTTCAACATACATGTTTTTAAGAAAGTCGGTTTGCATAGAGGTGTCACGGGGCTTAGCCTCTGCCATGTTGCATTTTTCAATTAATTCTAAAATTTTAGTTTAGTTTAGTTCAAACCTCTTCTCAGTCTTAACAAATTGTACCCCTAAAAATTTATCAATTCGGCCTAGAGGCTTTAGGGCAAAATTCTTGCCTAATTCGTCAGAGAACATTTTACATCTGTTCTCAGAATTGCAGATATACAAAATATCATCTAAATAAACCAAAACTGTTTCTTTGGTGCCCTGGTGGCTTCTGATGAACACACATTCATCAGCCGATGAGGCGGAAAAGCCCATCTGCCTTAGACGTTTGGTAAGACATTTGTACCACCTCCTGCCCGATT